CGGGTCGACGCAGCAATAACCACAGGCTGCTACTCCTCCAGACCTTCCTTGCGTCTCAATGTCACTACTTGATCTCTCCAGGAGCCTCCCTGCTCCCTCCCTGATCTGGAGCCTCCTGCTCCCTCACTGTAGCCACTGGTCCTCTCATGACCAGCCAAGCTGTTGGACTTCCAGGTCCACTTCAGGCCCTGACATCATCTCCCGGCACCACTGGGCTGCGTCTCACACAAGTCAGACCCGACTAGTTTTTTTTAAAGGTGTACTTACCAAACCACCGGACCAATTCTCAGCGAACATACAGTAGAAGCAAGCTGTTCGATAGGAAAAAAAAAACAGTTAAATAATTAGCATCAAAAATATTGTAAGTCTAATTCAATGTCTCAAAGTAATGCCTCAATCTTCTTAGTTTACTGACCACTACAACACACTCATCGATCAGTATTATTTTTTAAATACAGAGGATTCTATTAGCAAAGCATGTTTTTATAATGGGTCTACAGCACTTCTCATTTGCAATGCATCAACTGAGAGCACCATTCCAATCATACTACTGCTCTGCTAAGTGTTCTGATGTAGAAAGAGAAACAATATTGGGTGCTGAAGTGATTTAGGAGTTAAAATCATTATCTTTCACTCTTAATCTATTTCTGAAATATTTTGAGGTATGCTGAAGGGTTTAGAAAGAACACTTATATAATAGTGGTCAAGGCAAATCTATCAAAGCAACGTCATAGTGTCCCAGAGAAGGCTTCTGCAGGAACCTTACATTTTGGCTCAAGCCGAGGCTGTGGTGTTTCTCTGAGCCAAGATGGCTTCTGAGCAGGCAGGGATCTGGAAGCATGTGTGCATCATCAAGCTAAACACACCTGGGCATTCCACATGAGGATTGTAGGGCTTTTGTGATTGGTTCCCATGGAATTAGCCACACCCCTTTAATTACTGAATAGGTTTATAAAAGACAAGCCTAGGAGGAAACCATTTAGATTGTGCTATGAGTTAGATAGGAACATGAGAATCATTTGGTGTGAGTTTTATTCTTAATGTTACTATGGCACTGGAATCCATTTGGTGAGAAGAGCAAGATGTCAATGGCTTGGAAAATTGAACTAGAATAGTGTTACTGAGGCTAGCTCATCATCTGGGAGTTGTGAAAAGCTGTCTGTGTTGTTGTGGTTGGAAATGCAGTCCGTGATGTTGCTCAGCTACATGTGCTGGGATGATATGCCAGCTCATGGTTACGTTTGGCTGGGTTGAGCTGAAGTAGTGAAGTAAGTTACTATATCATTGCAGAACTCCTAGTCTGTGATGCTGCATGTACTGTAGGTGTTCAGGGTGCTGTGAAAATGAGCACAGCTTTAGATGGGGGTTAGCTCTTCTGTAGTGACTCTAGAGGTAAGGCTTAAGCACAGGACTTTAAAACTGAATGTTAAACTGAGGCTTCAGGGGTAAGTACAATACCTTGCGTTTTTCTATCTTTTGTCTTGGCAGCATGCTGTTGCAGTGAAGATGACATTCCCCAAGAACCCCATTCCAAGGGACTAGTTTTAGGCTCCTAAGAACTTGGTTCTTCCTGGTATACAGCTTCTGTTTCTTTAGGACACAGAAATCCAGCTTGACCCTGCTGCATAGCCAGTGAGGAGAGAGCCCTACACTGAAATCCCAGGTAGGACACTGCTGTACTTGGCTCAGCTGTTGAAATGGGGAGAAATTTCAGAATAAAAGCATCGGTCTAACAATCCAGTCCTTTTGTATTTAAGTGCACTTCCCTATAGCAGTATCTCCACTGGACAAGTCTGGGGGATTGTGTGGATTCTTTCAATGATGGCTCATGATGTGGGTGTGGATCTCTAAGATTGGGAGTCCAGTGTGACTGGCCTGGGTTGGAGTTCTGTTGGGATTGAGCTGCTATTCAGAGACAATGTTACAGTGACCAACAAAGTGTCAGGACTTGGTAATGTAACCTTTTTCCTTTCCCCCATGCTAAAAATAGAGCCCTGTTTCTCAGATGGGGAAGAAGAGGGACTGGCTGAAGCTCTCCAGCAGGAATGGGACACCCTCAACACTGCATCTGTAATGTGGTATCAAGATGTATGGTGATCTTCTCAACTGTCATGTTGATACAATAAAGTGATGGTGTCACTGGATGTCTTCTGTATACAGCCATTAAGTTCTATGAACTGTCCTCTGGTGCTGTGGTACTATCGCATAATTGCCAATGCTTTGAGCTGAAGATCTGTGAGAGGACTATCTGATCACAGTGGTGGCAGGGGTAGTTTTTTCATTATGTTCAAATCTCTGATAATTATTGTGCTTCGTCAATGTTGCCAGCTCAATTTGAGGTACCGTGGGGATCAGTGCTGGGGCCAATATTCTCTCCCTAGTTGTTGCTGCTAGGTAGGATAATACAAAAACACTAACTTTCATTCATATGCTGCTGACACTCAAGTAAACATTTTGTTTACACATTGCTTGTCTTTTATCACTTTCTTTACTTGCAGTGAGAAAGTAAAGACTGGGATGTGACAGCTTTTTACGAATTACTGATAAAATTAAGGTTCTGTTGTTTGGAGGCAATAATACTGATAAGACTACTTAGCTTCAGCACATAAGTCAGAGGATTTAAACATTTGCCTCAAGCCAAGTAACTTAAGTGTCTATTAGACAAGGCTGTCATGTTAAAACTGTATTGAAAACATACTTCCTACTGTTCAGAACTATTTCAAAACTAAGGCAGTTTCTCTCCACTCAAGCCACAGCCTACTGCTCTGCCCTACTATAAGGGAGCCTCCACCTCTCTTTCAACACCTCACAGTGAGTTCAGAATGGAGCAGCTAGAATTGTTACTAGGAGCAGAAAGCATGACCATTAACCCCCCTATTTCTATCTCCTCATTGGCTTCCTGGCAGGTACAGGCTGGACTTTACAATCCTTCTACTTACTTGCAAGGCTCGCAGGTGTCTGGTACCTGTCTGTCTACTGGAACTTATTAATGTATAACATCCAAGTTGCCTGCTTAGATCACAGAATGCAGGTCTTCATATTCCATGCATTAATTTAAAAAAAAAAGTTGGCAGTTATGCCTTCCGTTATAGGGCCCCTACCTCCTTATGGAACACTCTCCCACCCCATATTCGGATGCAGAGCCAATCTTGGTATTCA